TAATCAAATAATTTGTTGATTTGAGAATTTAGTAGTAACTCGTATTATTCCTGATAATCCTAATTATTGGATTGCATATAAACCCTTTGGAATTTTTTTTTTTGGTTAGTTTATGTTAATTTTTTGGTTAGTTTATGTTAAAATGAGATTATAGTAATAATCTTCATAATTAAAAAAAAACCACTCAAACTTATCCAACATTGTTTAGTCGTTCGCTGGTTTGGATTAAAATAGAGCGGAGGTGCACGTCGGTAGGACTCTCGATATAGATGTGTTTACCGTATTTTCATTCTTTTGGGAGTTTTGGTGTTGTTGAATAACAATCGTCATCAAATTTTCTCTAACAATATAAGAGAAATGTGGACGATCCTCTTGTTGCTAGAAAGCGTTTTGCTCAGAATTGTCAGGATCCAGATGATCTACAAAGTGAGCTTAAAACTGAATTGAATACGGTACTTGGTTGTGGCATAGCATTAAGTAAACTTGTTAACATCTTCAAGTAGGTTCTAAGATTCTGAAGAACATGATGTTGAAACCGACTTGTGTCTCTCTATTAGTTTTGTTATGGAGAACTAAAGAAACTAGAGCGGAGTAGTCACCTCTCTTGTCTTTCTATTATCCAAGACCTTTTTGTATTGTTGATTATATTTTACTAGTATTTAGCCAAATATATATATAAGAGAAATGTGTATAACGGGGTTTTCAAGTTTGACTCTCTCTTTCTTATATGGTTCCTCGTCATCTTCATACTCGAAGTATATGTTGTTATTGACAAAGGATACAAACTTTGTACACCAATTTATCCTTTCTCCATAAGTGCATTTAAATTTTAGAATATTCGAACGCAATATATGTTTCGATCGGAGAAGACACGAGAAGAAAATAAAAATATTTATGTATATCCATTCTTTGATTTGTACATATTTATATGCAACATATTTGCCTAAATTATACTGATGTCTCTTTCAAACAGGTAAGGAAATAAGGTAATAACAATTAGGGACAATTAAAAAAATACCACTTTTTGTGTGCGCATTTGCAAGAATATCACTTAGAGGTGTCAATTTGCAAAAATACCACTAATTATAGATTTATAAAGCCTATATCTTAAAATTCTAAACCCTAAAAATATTTTGACCCCTAAAATCCCCTAAACCCTCATAACTAAACTCTAATAGAACATAATTAATCCAAACATAAATGATATAAAGAAAAAATAATTTTGAAAAAGTAGCATTTTTGTAACGATTTCAAAAATATGGCATTTTTATAAAGTGACACTTAAAAAGTGACATTTTTTAAAATTTCTCTAACAACTATACTCATCACTTATTATATGCTTTTTATCAACAACATGCAATATACAAAATTTGAATAAAGATAGTAACATATATGTAGGAAGGACACTAACATAAATCATATTATATTTTTATCATTCTATGAGTATAGAGGAAACTATAACTTAAGCACACTCTACTAAATTTTTACTTCGCATAGCAACACAACGGTCTATTATTACTTGGGCTAATTTGATCATGTAACAATGGGGAAGATGGTCATTGAATTCTCCAAGTATTTGCAGTTGACAGATTTATTTCTCAAATATCGTGGTTACATATTAAATCACCAGGTTAACGTTGACTTCGTAAATTTAGGTATGATAAAAGTCAACGTTAACTAAGAAAACATAAATATTAATGTTGACTTTTTAGTCCAATTTTGCGAAGTCAACGCAAATTTGAGAAATTAAATTGCTAACTAAAAGTTGGGAAATGACTTCATGTATTTTTTTAAATATATCATTTCCATTATACTTTTTATATCCAAAATGTAGTATGTTTTATTGAAAATGATACTTTAAAAGTAAACATATAAATTATTAAGATTTATTCATAACAACAATAACAATTTACGTGATAGTAGAAATTATTGAACTTTGAAAATTATCATAAATATTTTTTTATTGTTTAACGAATCTCTCTAGCGGTTGTTTAAAAAGACTAAAATGTTGGAGTAAGCTTGTCTTCTCTAATTGAGAACCAAGAGGAATCGATGGAGGAAGAAGCTTCTGGATTGAGAAATGGTGAAACCTAAACCAAAGAAGAAGAAGACAAAGTTACAAACGAAGCAAACATATGCAAAGCACGTGACTTTGAGAAAACAGAACAAATCGTGCAATTGGAAAATTACTTCTTGTAATTTGGGGAATTATTTCGTTGTTTCCTTTATAGTTTAGAATACGGAAATT